TCAAGTTTTAGATTAGGTTAGGTTTTAGGTACAATATTAGGGATTAGGTTTTTATGTGATAATATAGATATGTGATGTTTATGTGTTTAAGTGTTATGTTATTTATTATGATATGTTTTATGTTTCGTGTCATAAAAGACCTAGAGTACTCCAGATCATCAAGGTGACAGCGCTCATTTGTGCTACCCTGACAAAGATACAGGTGGACGATCCCCATTGGTGCTGAATTTTTAAATCAGGATTGAGAAGAGAACTTCAATGAAGAGTTTTAAAGAGTTGAATGATGTTTAATCCAAAAATGATGGTTTTAAGTCGCGACTTGTTTTTTAGATCTTGATTGATCAGAAATTGTTTATTGAATTCATTGAATCAAACGAGACAGGAAGAAACTACACGACAGCAAGAATCAACACGATAAGAAATGGGTGACACGAACGAACTAATGGAATTCCTCTCAGCGAGTCTAGGAGCGAGTCTAGACGAGATCTATCAGCGGCTGATTGATTGTGATTTTACACGAGAAGACCCGGGGCTGGCGATGTTTGTGGTCGCGCTCCTCAATGCATTAGGACGAGAGGGTCGAGGGAATTGCCCTACAGAAGTCGTGTTGATGTTGGCCTTCGGTGAGTCCGGGACCGCCGAGAGAGGTCGAAACCGACTGATGAGATAGGCGTGGAGAAATGTCTGGCCACGACCTGGCTCGTGAGCCAGGACTAGGTGAACAGAGGGAACACCGGCTAGGTGAGATGCCCTTACCCGTCCAACCTGCGCAGCCACTCATCGGAGCGAAGAGACAACGTGATGGGCCAGGCCCGTCACATTCGGTCGACTCTCCAACAGCTGCTCCTCCTCCGAAGAGAGTGAGGGTGAGTGAAATAGAGGTCCAGACGTCGGAGACGATTGAGACGCTGGAGAAGAAGGAGAGAGATCAGAGCGAGCTGTGTTCCAAACTCCAGGAGTATAGGGCGATAGCTCGAGACAGGGACGAATGGAAGAAGAAATATGAATATTTACAGGTGGCCTACAAGGAGGATGAAAGAAAGCACCTGAAGGAGCTGTATATAGCAAAAGGTGAATGTGGACTTGCTACCTTGTTGCAAACCGAGGCTGTTGGAACAGGAGAGTTGGGGCACGGTCCGCAACTCCGTGGACATGCTGGAGAAAGTCCTAGAAGACAGCGAAGCTGAAGATCAGGATGGAGAAGCGATGGAATGAAGATGATCAACGAAGAGAACAAGTGAAGACGTGAGCAAAGAAGAGAAGAGAAGGAGAAAAAACATGATTGTCTTTGTGTGTTAAAACTTGAACCAATTAACCAAGTTTTGATTATTGAACTTGTTAAATTTTTTGTTTTGATTTAGTTTGGTCAAACCAGACTTTGAAAACTGTTACAATTGTTACAAATGTTGAAAGAGAATTTTAGTTATACTACTTATGTATATATATTTGTTGTTGTTGTTGTTGTTGGGGATTCACAGCACTGCTGTTGGGAGTCTTGGTCCCGGCGTCTTCTCTAAAACAATGTCCACTTGTTTCTGCACGTGATACAATCACAGAATAATTGCCACGTGCACGTTGTCATTTCTGAAAATCTCTCGTTTACAAATTTCCACATCGTGTTTAAAATTCTCGTCTTGAGGCCGATTCGTTTATCAAAATGAATATATGGTTCTAATCGATTTACAATCCTACTGGTTCTGAAAACAAATTCGTTTCTCGCTTTTTCCGTTCTCACTTTTCGCATCTCAAAAATTTCTATATTTCTAGCCCGTGTGGTTCGCCTGTTTAACACTATTTCATTTCGTTCATTAGAATCAAGACTGGCAAGAAGTAAGATGTTATTTAGCTGGATGAACATGGGCAGGGGTAAAATGTTTAGCAAGCGTAGTTCGTTGATGTACACTCCCGTTTTATTTCCAGTGATCCACCGGATTGCTTTCTTTTGAAATCGCTCCAACTGCAATTGATCCCCCCTCGATATATGTGTACATGAGAGTCCGTATAATAACACTGGGAGTATTAGTGACTTATACAGGCCTAACTTTACAAACGTATTTATCTTTGCTGATAGGTTTCTTCTCAGGAGGTACAGTACTTGGTTTGCCTTCTTTAATCTTGTTTCAATGTGTACCTTCCAACTTAAATCGCCCGACACAAAAATTCCCAGATCTTTCACAACCATCGATGTTCCAAGCACTACACCAAAAAGCATAGAGTTGGCGTCTCCGCCCCTAAAACTTACTTTTGCACATTTATCTAGTGCTAATTCCATTTTGTTTTCAGTTACCCACTGCTGAATTTTGTCCAGATCTTCTTGAATTTCAATTGATGTTTTTTTGATGGAAAGTAGTTTAAGATCATCCGCAAAAATATATGGTTCAGAGAATTTGAGTACTTCAGGTAGGTCGTTAATAAAAATGCAAAAGAGCAGTGGTCCTAAAAGTGATCCTTGGGGAACACCACTAGTGACTTCTAAAACTTTTGAGCTGATATTGTCTACTCGTACAAACTGTTTCCTGTTTTTCAAATAGTCATAGAGTACCTCTAACATGCAGCCTCCTATTCCTATAAGTGCAACTTTCTTGAGTAGATCAAAATGCGGAACTTTATCAAAGGCTTTTGCAAAGTCAGTGTAGACTGCTACAATTTCTGCGTTTGAGTCATTGTCAAGCGCTTCATATATTTCTTTCAGGAAGGAGAGCATGTTTGTCAAAACTGATCTACCTTTAGTAAAACCGTGTTGATGTTTCGTCAAATACCAGGCAAAGTAAGGGTACAGGTCTTTGTATATACATTTTTCAAGGACTTTGCTGTCAATATTTAATAGCGATACTGGTCGATAGTTGTTCGCCAATTTTCGGTCACCTTTTTTGTGAACAGGAGTAACTGCAGCTGTTTTCCATGAATCAGGTATTTTTCGTAGGCGTTTTACGTTTCTCAAAATTTTGTTCATCGGTTTGCATATATTGCGGTTCGTTTTCTGAAAAAAGCTAGGTGGCAACCCATTTGGCCCGCGTGACTTTGTTACGTCCAGAGTTGATAAAATCTCACTTACTGTCTTTTTCGATATATACAACATAGGTGAGTATATTTACCTATTTAAACACGACTGAAGTTTTTAATCTGTGTAAGACACAATTTCAGTGTGTGGCGACATGGTAAGTTTGAGTAAACTCGCTCGAGAAGGGTGAGTAACTCAATAACTTTCCTAGCCACAGAGTTTCTTAGTTTTAATATTGAAAGGACTGCATTAATAACTGATTATACTTGGTGAGTGACGTTAAGTTAATTTTAACGGGTGCGTGGCCATGCCACGTCCCACTTTTTAATCACAAAGAGCGAAAATAAGTTTTATGGCAAGACGACGGAAGTAGTCAGAAAAGAAATTTTATCTAGGACACTCCTCATGGTGCAAATTTTGTGAAAATGTTGAAAGGCAGTGAGATGTAGTACGATGCCATTTGTGAACACGTATTGAGTTGAGGTGGAGTACATAAATTTCATTTTGTTATGCGATTTGTAAGATTGATTACAGAGAACTGGAACACTACTTGACGATAACCCGGTGTTATGCGATCAATAGGGACATTGATGGGGACTTGTCCGGGGAGTATGTGCCATTCTGCCAGAAAGGCACAGCGCAACCTTCCGGCGACACGAAAAAAAAAACGAATAAAGGCCTTATTAGCGAAAAGTATTGCGAAGGAGGGTAGGAACATTCTAGAATTTTTATTTTCAAAATTTCGATCGAAGAGTGAATATTTCTCAGAAATACAAAAAAGAAGGCCATTTTGACGAAAAAGGACGAAAAAACAGAACAACGACAAATATTGTGGAAAACGGTCGCACAAGAGACGAGAAACACGAAGCCTCTTATCGTGGCAACAACACACGATAAGACTCTTAGCAGTGGATAGTAGTGGAGAAGGAAGCTTCAGTGGGGAAGGAATATTCCACGTAACTCTCCCGTGCCACAAATTGGGAGAGATAACAGCGTTATCTCAGGAAGATTACGGGAGCGGAGGCTTGGTCCCCCAAAGACTGTTTTTATGTGAAGGGACTATATAAAACTGACTTTGTATCTACTTGGATGTCGTAGAAGTCTGAATTAACACCGGTATTATTTGATATTTTAGAATTTGATTAGCTAGAAAGAGGAAAGGGTCAATCCATCTCCAATGGATTTAATATAGAACTGTCACACAAAAACATATTAAAATAGGTTGTTCGAGCCTTGTTTTTATTAACAATCACGTAGTCTGAGGATCCGAGACTCAGCTATGTGGTTGTGTTCGCATGTAAACGAAAGCTGATCAAAAGTCGTTTGACTGATGGCCTAAAAATAGTAACTTTTTACTTTGCCCTAAACAGACCTGAAAATCAACTGGCAAGGTCGAGACGGTGAAAAACGAGTAGGATTAAGGTAACTGACGCCTGCCAGTCGTTAATAGGTACTTTTCTACGCTCCGTCGCTGTGTAGTATTTGGGCGAATGTTACAAATTGTGGTGCTCATTAATATATTTTAATTTATTAAATTGCTGTGCTTCAGTTTCTACTTCCTTTTTTTACTCTTCACCAAGCGCATTTGCAGCCTTTTTCCCTCGTTAAAAAGTTTGTCCAGTTCGCCCGCATGTCATTGCTTAAGCCTTCTTGCTATAGTTTTGGAGTTCAATCCATCACTTTCCGAATTGGTTTTGCATAGCATAAGGTGAGGGAAAATCATTGTTGCGTGAATTGCGTATGTTTTCATTTGTTTCAAGTAAAGAGTTTGGGGTTCTATTTAGAGTTTCTTTAAAGTTAAACTCAAGTCTGCTTTTCGCGAGGATCATGAAGATTGGTTTCCAGCGCACTACTTAGCTGTAGACTGTTCTTATTTTATCTTTTAGTTCAGGTGTGGGATTTGACCAGGTGTCGGGTGTGGCTGTCACAGTTTTTTTGCTGTTTGCAATTGCAGGATTTTGATCGTTGATCGAGGGGACTTTCCGATTAGTATATAAAATTTTTAGATAGATTATGAAATTCGATGCTGGGACGTAGAGTGCTTCTAAAAGCTCTTGGTCGGAAGATGTCATTCCACGCTGTTAAATTTGAGAATCTGGCTCTTAAGATACTACCTGTCGATGAATCCAAAGTACTGGGATCGCGTCGCGTTGAAGGTGCTTGTTTTTCGCTCGTTGATCCAGATCCGGTTGAAAATCCCGAAGTAGTTGTATTGTCTCATGAAGCCCTCAAGCTATTGGATTTCGATGTGATCAATGTACCCGATAGCGAGGTTGCTGATTTTTTTTCAGGCAACAAGCTACTTGAAACATGGAAAACAGCTGCACATTGCTATTGTGGTCATCAATTTGGTTACTTTTCCGGACAATTGGGAGATGGAACAGTTGTCTATTTGGGCGATAGATTAAATTTGAAAGGGGAACGTTTTGAAATTCAACTAAAAGGTGCTGGAAAAACACCATTTTCGAGAGGAAGCGATGGGCGCAAGGTACTGCGTTCAAGTATTCGTGAGTTTTTAGCCAGCGAAGCCCTGTTTCATTTAGGAGTACCGACCACTAGAGCAGGTAGTTGTGTCACGTCATCATCTACAACTGTTCGTGATATTTTCTATAGTGGGAATCCAATAAACGAGAAATGTACGATAGTGTCACGCATTGCTCCAACTTTTCTTCGTTTTGGGTCTTTCGAAATATTCAAAAGTACAGATAGCGAAACTGGAAGAGATGGACCGAGTTGCGAAGAAACACATCTTCACATTTTACCTGACCTGTTGAACTACACAATTGAGAATTTTTATCAAGAAATTTGGTCTGAGTATAACGATAATTTCGAGAAAATGATTCAAGCTTTTTATCTCGAAGTCGTGAGGAAAACAGCTTACCTTGTGGCAGAGTGGCAGTGTGTTGGTTTCTGTCATGGAGTTTTGAATACTGACAATATGAGTATCTTGGGACTTACAATTGACTACGGACCGTATGGCTTCTTGGATCGCTACAATGCAAAACATGTCTGCAACAATTCCGATGATGGTGCTAGATATTCATACGAGAAGCAACCTGCAATCTGCAAATGGAATTGTCGAAAGCTAATTGACATGCTGAAAAAGGTGGCGTCCGAAGAGGACTTATACAAATCCTTGGTACAGTTTGACGACTATTACGAGAAATATTACTTGGATAAAATGCGGCAGAAGTTGGGCATCAAACCACGAAGTGAAACTGAAGACCAAGAATTTGTCAAGTCGCTTCTCAGAGTTATGCAGAAGACAGGGGCTGATTTTACGAATACTTTCCGCGTCTTTTCCTTGACGAGGACTCCGAATGAGAGCAATTTTGAAGACTCCATGAACCTTGTGAAATCCCGAGTGTTAGATTTTTGCACAAACGCCGATGAATTGCGCCGACAGTACAAACCAAATATATCGCAACATGAACTAGAAATGGTTCAAGCATTAGCGAATACAAACCCTCAGCTTCTATCTTTAATGGGAGGAAGGCGACTGTTGAGCGAGATGAGAAAAATGGAAATATACGAAGACTATAAGAATATAACAGACGTGGAAAAGCGCACCGATGACGAAAGTCATTGGACTGAGTGGTTTGAAAAATACACCGAAAGACTGAAAGTGGATTGGCCTGCAGATACTTCAGAAGCTGATATGGATGAAAGAGTGGCGAAAATGAACCAAGCCAACCCCAAATTTATTCTGAGGAACCATTTGTTACAGGGAGCAATTGAAAAGGCGGAAAGCGGGGACTACACAGAAGTCAAAAGACTGTTCGAGCTATCCAAGAAGCCTTACGAAGAAACACATGCCCTTGAAGTTGAAAAACTGTTCCCGCAATGCAGCTCTTCTAAAGATCAAAAAGATGCTTCGCCAGCTGACGCAGCAGCTCTGGAAAAGTATTTCAGCCGCCCTGCTCTGAAAGACTTGGACATTCGGGTCACGTGCTCTTCTTAGATTGGGTAAACACCCTTGAACGGATGCTAAAACAATTCCTTGAAGCTAACGAATGACTAAAATAATTAAAACCCGTGAGGGAAAATATTATTTGAGATATAGTTTCACCAGGAATGACTTCGAGATTATATTTTGTATGCAAAGACTTAGTTACTTGATTATGTATATATTCCTATTCAACTAGATAATCATTTCATTCAAATTATGAAGTAAATTTTGAGTAGACTAGATACTTTTTTCATCTTTGAAAAGATGCAAATTCGAGCAGAAGATAATAGTTCTGACAAAGAATGTATGACTTCAGAGCAAAGTATCCGTTTTCTTACATCTTCAATTTTTTTCAGAAAATGTTGTTGACTGTGAAGACTATTAAAAATGAAACGTTCAAGATTGAAACTGAGCCATCTGCTACGGTAAGTTGAAGCATGATAAGTAATATTTTCTTTCTCACATGTTATCTATTTTTGTGTACATTAGCGTTCCGAATAATAGTGATAATAATAAATTGTTTCCATGTGAATTCATTAGACAAAAGAAATTACAAATCAAGAATTTTTTAACCGAAACATCTCTGGAGAGAGAACTATAAGACAAAATCTAGCCTGAAAAGCAATTGTGGCATAGCTTAGGTTTTCCATGCGCAACTGGGAACCTCAAAAGAAGCTTGTTGGTAATCGAGTGTTGTGCATATAATTTTGTCTTCGAAAATGATTTTAAAAATAGTCGTTCTTTTTTAGTGTCCAAGTGTATGTTGGCTGTATTTCACGATTGCAAGTAGCAGCTTTATCAAATCGGCGAATGGAAGCATACATTGTTTTTGGTTCATGAACAACTTGTCTAAGATAAACACATAATCATGCATTTAACTCAGTATGACGTCATTGATTTAGGTCATGGATTTGAAGAGTAAAATGAGCAGTGAAAAAGGTTACGATGCAGCCGCTCTCAAACTCATCCACAACGGGAAGATCCTGGACAACGACAGCACAGTGGAGTCATATGGCATCTCGGAGACAGGTTTCATAGTGGCCATGCAGTCCCCGCCAGTGAGGAAGGAACCCCCGCCCGAAGAGATGAAAGAGGAAGCGACCCCCAATACACCGGCTAAGACCACGACCACCGAGGAGTCACCCGAAGCAGACGAGAAGAAAGAGACTACGACAGTCACACCTCCAACGTACGTGATCTACAGCTAGCTAATTCTCCTGTTGAAATAGAAATAAGGCTTCGGGTATTTTTAGTTTCCCTTGCCATAATCAAGGTTATTGTAATCGGGTTCTAGACTTTTCCCGTAAATAACTTTGTTCAAGAAAGATTAGTGTAGTACGAATGGTAAAGTTCACCTGTGGCTGACATACTCAATTTATTGGAAGTTCAAATATAACTACCATAATTTAGGTAGTAGATATATGGAGTTCGTTTCAGGCAGTTAATGTATTTTCAAAAAATTTTGGGAAAATGTGATTTTTTCGGATTCGCGGTTTTCGTCATAGTTTCTGTCGGTTCATTGTCCGTGTTTTAAATGCCATTGAATTTATCGGTACGTTTTTTTCTACTTACGTTCTAAAAAAAGTAAATTATAAAAGGGGCCCTTCCGTTTAGATACGGTCGTGCACAAGCTGGATTGGGCTCATACCAGCATTATATAAATACATCAATAAACAATATTGCGGGAATTAAGTCAAGTCAGCATTTAAAGCATTGTCATTAAAAGTAATCTTCTTTAACCGTCCCTTCTCTACAACAGCACTAATTGAATTGTCCATGAGTTACGTTCTAAAGCATGGATTTTATTTTGCTTGAGATATCTTTTAATATAATTGAAATTTCTGTAATTTGTAATTTTAGGAACTCGATTTGTTAAAATTCTTTTTTTGTTTTCATTTTTTTGGGTTGATAAATTTCGGCCTATATGATATCGGCTTAGTAGCCTCATATTGCCTCAATTTTTTTGTAAGTGTGTTTTGAGGGTGAGGGGGGCCTAATAAGTTCTTATAAGTCAACCATATGAAGACTAAATTAGCAACGGAACAAAACTTACGAATAGGAAACCAAGCCGGCAATCTTTGAGCAGAAAATTTGAGCCAAAAAAGATTTCATAACAAGTCCCTCCTGAAACTACAATGACCAAATCTTGCACTTGCAACTACAATGAAAGTAACGGCTCTTTTCCACTGAGGGTGAGGGGAGGGGGCCTAATAAATTCTTAAAGTCTTAAACCTTGTTGAATTACTTCATGCTTAAAGGGTTTCTGTTAAAGTATTTTCGACTTTGTTGTCGCTTGGCAAATGATCTTCTAATGCTAATTTGGATTATATTGTATTGGCTTGTTTTTGTTTCAAGATAAGCATTATTCAATTTCATAGATTTAGTTTTTTCGACCTTTTCGAATTTTTTTTTGACTTAGCGGCTTTTTTGTTGTGTATCGCTAGTGATGCGAAGCTCAGCTTCGCCTCTGTGTGACACTCGCGAAAGCAAGTGTCTTGTAATCGGGAACTAAACTTTTTTCGCGTAAACAATTTACAAATTTTCAACTTGCTTTACGATTCGTAAGTTTTGTTCCGTTGCTAATTTAGTCTTCAAATGGTTGGCATGTTTTCCTAGAATGAACTTCTATCGAGACTTACGAAAATTTATGTTTTGTAGACCAAGTTTTTCAACAATTTTTTTTCTTCAAATTATTGTTTTGTTTGTGCTGTATAGCCTGTGTAAAATAATATTTAATTTGAACTCGGATTTTGTCGATTTTTCCTTTTTTTCATGCGACGTTCAGTGATACCACCAGAACAGAAAGTGCGCCCAATGCACCCCCACCCACTGCTCCATCTGCTCCTCCCCCTGACCCCTCTCCCACAACTGACCCATCATCAGGAGCCCTGTTCAGTGAGTCCACCTTCCTAACGGGGCCTGCGCTGGAGGAGACGATAAACAACATCAAAGCTATGGGATTCACCGAAGACAGGATTAGAAGGGCACTGGTGGTGGGCTACAATAATCCAGACAGGGCTGTGGAACTACTCGTTATGGTAATAAAGCATAATCTTTTGACAGCAATAGATGAATAAGCTATAATGGGCATCAAATTAAATCTTTCATCACTTTGTGCTGAAAAGTTGTTTGCAAGTTCAAAGGCAGAGCTATACAGTTTAATTGCATCAGCGGATATAGTAGCTGCATTTAAATGTCTGTCAAAGTAATGGCTATTTAACGTATTCGCTTGTTGTGTCATGAACAATTTTAATTGCAATCCTTGGCTATGGTAGATTTTAACATTATATTCTTAGTTATATTATTTCAGAATGATCCGCTCCTGGACCAAGTTGGCAGTTCAGCTCAAGAGCAGGACGAGAGGCCACGTGAGCCCACACCTGGGATAGCCCTTTCGGGGGAGAGAAGTTCGAGTGAACGAGGAGTTACCCCCGAACAGGGAGAGGAAATGGATGACACGTCAGGGGGAGGGGGAGGAGGAGCCGGTGTTTTGCCACCGGGTGGTGAAATGAGTGACATGGATACATTTGAGTATCTCACCAGACTCCCTCAATTCCAGCTAATCCGCAATGCAGTCCAGTCCAATCCAGCCGTTCTTGAGCCCCTGTTGCAGACATTGCAGACCCAAAACCCAGAACTTTTTGAGGCGAGTTTTTTATTTTTCATGATCAATGGCCTGTGTTTCATGTTATGTTCAGATAACCATTCTGTAATCGAAATTTCTTAGAAGTAATGAGTTTCTATGAAGTTGATTGCGACATTTGGTTTTAGCAAATTAACCAGAACAGAGCCGAATTTTTCCGATTGATTACAAACCCGGCAGCTGGAGGAGCAGCTGATTCAGGAGAGCAAACATCAGGAGGCGCAGGAGAGTCAGGGGGCACAAGGGGGTCCAATCCAGCGCTAGCTGGCTCGGCGGCCGCACTGGCTGGATTGACAGACATGTCTGCCACTCCGGGTCCCAATGATCCCCGATTTGTCACTGTCACACTGACTCCCGAAGAACAGGCACATATTGAAACGGTCAGTTGTCTACAGTCAAATTTTATCAAAAAATGGCTCCCAGCTTTCAATCAAGAAATCCGTAGCAGTTCACAGGTAACAGCCGAGGGAGGTTCTCCTGTATTGGTCCTTCGATCGTTGATAAATGTTATTTAGAAAAGAAAGAGAAAGAATTTATTTCTTCAGATATGATGCATACAAAAACATTTAACAATCAAACATGCGAACAAAATCTACAAAGCATCAATTAATCATCTGAAGAGGATAGACAAAGGTCAAAGATATGACCACTGGGTGTCTACCCTGAATGTTATTTAGGTCTTTATTTAATTTTTTCCAAGGCAAGGAGTTTCTTTAATTGATAGGGAACATATTACGTTTTTGCTATGGCATTATAGATTCAGTTTTTTGCCGTTTATGTTCGCTACAATTTTATTAATCGAATACGTGGTCTATTTTACACATTTTTCAGTTTTTAGTGCAAAATTTCCTTAACAGTGGAACTTTTGGTGTTTTGTCTGGTTATCAATTAGCAATGATTTGAGTGGGTTTTAATTTGCCTGTTCAGATCATCAGCTTCAGTGGTGTCTCAAGACAACAGGCGGTGGAAATTTTTTTGCTGTGCGACAAAAATGCAGAGCTGGCCATCAATTACATAATGGACAACCAAAATGATCTCTAATTCAGTTCAACACCCTGTCCAGACCCAGTTTTCAACGGACATCTTATCTTTATGGACTTTCGTAGATGGAAGCACTCGAAATAGTTCTTCCTTGGGCAGACATGCTAAAGAGCAGACAATTAGGAATCATTGATTGACTGGTATCGCTAGTTGTGCCTCGCATCATAATTGAAAATTTTGTAAGATTTTCGGTCTCAAAGTCGGAAAAGAAAAGAATTAGTATGTAATTTAATGTTTTCAACAGCTTTTAGAAATTGTTTTTCCTGCATACACGATATTTGCTCGAAGGTGTGTCTGCTCAGCTTTGACAGTAATATTGGACTGCGAATGTATTTAATTTGTTTAATTGCTGATTGGATAATTTCTGATGTAACATGCTGACTATAGAAATGTCTTGGGGCGCGCGGGTCTTTTTGATTCGACAAAATACATTTCCATAATCGCATCCTAAAACTCGAGTTGACTATGTGTTATTTAAATTTTGAAACCATAAGTTGACTGGCGTGGCTGATATTTGTTTCCCCATTTCCGCTGGCCGTTTTATTCGAGCGAAGAAATGTTTTGGGTTACATGTACATGGACTACCTGAGTTGTAAATGAATCAGATTGTTGTACATGTTATTGAGTGTGACTAGTAGCTGATTCCGAGGAGTGACGTCTTTTACAGGAACCTGACCCCCTGGCCACTCAAAGGGTCACCTTTGCTACTATTCTACAACATACTTTTTAGCCACTTACCTAAGTCGCGATGATCGATGATATACACATACACTTTCAAATTTTATATTTTTTAAGTTCTGGCTGAACGCGGGATATTACGTTGTAAGGTATCAAAAGTAAACATGTTCACAAGGGGCAATTTGCTCACCTTGTACATTTTCAAGGCTTAAAAGCAGTTTTTCAAAACTGAAAATGAAAGTTGGGTGGAAAATGAAAGAGCCGATTGTCGATTTCTCAAATTCAGTTCATTTCCTTTATTGAAAAGGCAGAATACAATATCGACCAGCAAAAGTGTAAAGGTCACGGAAAACGCAAACTTCCAGTTTCAAAAACGGATTTCAATTTACTGAACTCCCAGCGGAATGAACAAGTTAACCTATTAATCCAATGTTTTCTAAATCGGATAATTTTAAGAATAAAAGACAATTATGAACTGTCTTTGAAATATAAAGGGCTTCAAGGGCACAAACTTTCTTCGCATTTCCAAGTTTTTTCAAAAACAAGTCAGTAATTTTTTTGTCCTTGAGTTCATTGGCTCTTTTCCAACTGTCGGCTATGTTGGTTTAAAACTTATCCATTTGTTGTCTATGTTTCTTATTTATAAAGTACAATCTAAACTACCTTACGAAACCAAACTGTATTTTGTGATTTTACAGCGGATTCTATCTTTGTTCTTTCTCGTTTCTGAGGCTTCAGAAACAATTTTAATATGTTCAAAGACTTGTCTCTGAATTTCAGAGGCTTCCACACACGCACAAAATTGTGCGTCTATTAATTGCAGAGTTTGGCCTCGGAATTTAACTTTGCGAGCAGGTCTGTAGTTTTATCAAAATTTACTTGCAGCAAAGAAAGTTTCTAAGAATAGGGTCAACATCCTACGTTTCAAAGTTGGCAAACACTTAATCAACACCTGAATGTGAATAGATTGAAAAGGATTCGCTTTTATTGCAATAAAGAAAAGCCGGTTGGAAAAAAATTCTCTAAGAAAAATAAAAATGAATTTGTCTCATTAAATCCTCTAGGAGGTAAATTGAATATAGAGAGTGAAAAGCTCGTAACGCAGATTAATTTTCTAAAAAGTGAGAGGGAAGTTTGGACCTCAGAAGCACAACTTGATAAGGCACAAACCTAGTATTGCACCTAGCCGACAAACAATTAAACGAAAGTTGAAAGGGAATTATTTCAAAAACATACCTACCCAAGTTCTGTGTTTTTTAGGGATGATCTGTCTGAAATCATTGCTAAGGTAGAAATCATAACAAGGATGGTTTGTATCAGATTATTCGTTTTTGGCAGTTGCACTTGCGAGAGCAAGTGACTTGAAATCATGACCTAGAATTTTTTCTCACGTAAACAATTTTTCTTTTAATACCTGCTGATAAGTTCAATTCTGCTGACATTCTCAGTTCTGCTGAGATGATAATTTTCTTGAAAATTCAAATAAAACTACCTTTGTTATTTGAGGTAGTAGTTTTTTCTATAAATAAATGATTTGAAAAAAAAATATTTTGTTTTTCGTCTTAATTTCTCCCAGTTGATTTTCCGTTTTTTTTTTTCATAAGCATTTGGTATATTTTTCAAGCCGTTTTTTTACAAATCGTGGCTGTTTCATTTCAAATTCAGATTTTTTTATTTTAGGTAAAAGAATTCTAAAGTTTGTAATTTTGCCGCCTCTGATTTTTAATTTATTTTGATTTTTTCGGTTAAACGGGTTGATATCAGATCACCTTAGTAAACTTGGATTGCGTGATATTAAGATTGAATTTGTTAACAATTTTTGCTTGTTTCAGGTGGGATGTAAAAAAAATATATTTTAAAAAAAGTTTTATGGCTTCGCCTGGGTTGACGTTTGGTCACCTTTTCTGAAGCTTGCTAAGCCTGTTTTTTAACCTTGTCCGAATGGTTTAAGATATTGTGTTTTTGACTTTTTTCAATTAATTTTTCCAGCTTAGTTTTTCAAAAAAAGTGGATTCCCTCTAAGTTTTCAGCATCAATTTCTTGCAATGCAGTGTTATAATTTTATAATTGAATCACAATTTTTGCGAAGCCCTGCTTCTCCTCTCTGTGTTAAATACATGGTTTTTCACAATGATAAACAGCAACAAGTACTCAACCTGACTAACAAGAAAATTGGAAAATAAATTGAAAACAAAAGTAAGCATAAAACGATAACGGAATTAAGCTATTAGAACTTCATTAACTTCATCCACAAAGAAACTTAATCGAACACGTTTTAACGTGTGAATGAAATAAGTGAAGGTATTTATTTATATCGTGTGAACGATTGTGAGAATAGAGCAACAAAACTACAAAACTCTCTAAATTCCAGTTTTGAAAGAGAATTTTGAGATAGTGTGCGTGTTATGTAAATTTCAAACCAATTATTCAAACTCCAAGATCAACTCAAACCGTTGAATTTATAAGATAAACAAAATAACGAAACAAGCGAAGCTAAATATAAAGAAAGTAGAGAAAAAAATAGCAATTGAGAGCTAAGAAATGCACAAAAATGTTTGCAAGACAGTTCTGAATAAATGCCTCTAAAGTATCGCACCTTGTCTTTATAGGAAGAGACTCAAGTTACAAACTGCACAATACTGCTTCGCTGTGTTTAAGAACTAGCCGTCAAAAAACATGGTTTTAATTAGCTTATACTATAATGATCTGCAGCAAAAATGCCATCATTGGTTGAGCACTATCGTTTCCAAACTTCATCGAAAAAAGTGAACCTGTAAATTGAATGATTTAAAAGTAGAAGTTAGATTTTTATACGTTGGTGCGTACTTTAAGATAAATTTGATAATTTTTCTTTCTTTGAACGTCTTCCCACGTTTGTCAGCTTGGTTAGTTGCCTTACAATTGCTGTTGATTTCTTAGATATTTTTAAATATCGATATTTAAAATGAAATGAAGAAGAATGCTTTTTTGCAAATATCTTTCGACAGGCAGGAATGTCTTTGTAATGCACACTTGGGTGTGAAATTGAAATTCACAATTTATGTAATTAGGATTGCAATCAGTGATATTTATCAAATCAAAACATACATTTTTTCGGGTTAATAACTGAATTCTGTTCCAAAAAAATTGTCCGCTTATTTTTTGCCTGCTTATGTTTTTCCGGCTTAATTGCCACATTGCTAGTTGCCGCATTAAGCAAATTTTTTGCTGAATGCAGTTTTTATTGTAGATGCTTTTTATGTTTTCCTTTACTCCTGCAATTTGTAATTCTACTAGCCTTATCTTCTATTTTTTCCAATTTTCAAATTTTTTTGCGTGAAAATTTTTTTCTTCAAATTTTTTTTTTAAAAAGTTAAAATCAAAATAAATTGGTTTCGAATGGTGCAAGGAAAAGTTTTTCGTTGCTTGTTCACAGTTGTCATCCTGTGTTTTTATCTTCAAACATCTCATATTCTTCGAAATAATATGCAAGTTATAAAAATTATGATTTCCTCTAACCAACCAAAGCTAGGTTAGTGGACCGATTAAATATAAGCCAAAATCATTTTTCTTCAAAATGATTTTGGCTTATATTTAATCGGTCCACTAACCTAGTTTTGGTTAGTTAGAGGAAATCATAACTTTTATAACTTCCTCTGTATAACCCAAAACGTTAAAAATTTCAGAATAAAATTTATAGATCAATTATTTTTATCAGAACATTTTCTTGCCCTCTTTTTTTTAAACGCCATCGAATGTGTTTCTGCACGTGTTTTCTGCAAATAGAGCATCAATCCAGACAACATTTTGAAGTTTTGTAAATTTGGTTTCTTTGAAAATTTTTCCGGTTTCTTTGGACTTATTTGCTTCCTTTTCTTTCCTGTCTGCTAGCTTGCAATGTTACACGGGTCAATTAGTGCAAGTAGGGAGTGCGTACCGTCAAAAAGGTCAAATTAGCATTTTTTCTTCAATTTGCCTTCTTAGCAATTTGGCGAATAATCGTCGTTATAGCATTTTGAGGGAGTTTAAAAGCAGCCACTTTTTCATAAATTTTTCTTCCATGCTTGATTTCAAGATTGTTAAGAAATTTTAAATAAGAATTCGAAAAAAAAAATCTTTTTTATAAATCAAAAGTTAAGAATATTCAACTATTCTGCATCAAATTGTCAGTGCAATGTCTTTTTTTTTGCACGTTACGTGCAAAAATCACAATAAATTGAAAATTGCTGTCTGTTCTGTTCAGTCGTTTTCAATTTGCGATTAGCAAGGGTACTGCAACCTAGGTACTTCACTTTCTTCTCATTAACAAATTTGCTGAAAAAACAGTTCTCTTCAGCCTACTTTATTGTGTTACCAAGTTACAGCTACTCTTATAGCGTAAAAATTAATTCCTTGCTTCAGAACACAAATATCACTGCTTCGATTCTAGCCAGGAAACGGTTATACTTTGCAAATTGCAAAACATAACCGTACAAAAACAATTGTAGTTTCTCTGCTTTTTTCATGTCTGTTCAATCTCCACTCGGTGATTTTGGTCTATTTCAAACTATTCGAACAATATTTAAACTTTTGATAATCACTGTTTTTTTCGATTGAATTCTTTTTTCGTTCACTTGGTTTTCTCTAATTTAAGTCGCTATTAGTTCTTAATCTTGCAATTAGCAGGGATTTGGAACGTAAGTACGAGAAATTTTTTCTAGTTAGTACCTTCCTAGCCAAGCACTTCAAGTTACAGCTACTCATTTTATTGGCGTCGCACAAGCCTGTCAATGTTTAGTTTTAAAACAAAATCCTTGTTTTGATTCTAGTAAGGGGACAATAT